AGTATGTATGTATGTATGTATGTATGTATGTGTGTATGTATGTATGTATGTATGTATGTATGTATGTATGTATGTATGTATGTATGTATGTATGTATGTATGTATGTATGTATGTATGTATGTATGTATGTATGTATGTATGTATGTATGTATGTATGCATGCATGCATGCATGCATGCATGCATGCATGGATGCATGGATGTATGCATGCATGCATGCATGCATGCATGCATGTATGTATGTTGCAGACCCAAAAATATCAGTGGGGTCAAAACACGTGAAAGAAAAAAAATTAAAACAGAATGGTAAATGCTATACTCCGTAAATAACATGTTGGATACTATGTTCTCGTAAAAGTGTAATTTTTGACCTTAAGTTTTAACCCTAATATAATACTCCCTCCACCCAACAATTTCTTTCTCGCTTTGACTTTACACGCACTTTAAGAAATGGTAAAAATTGCAAGGACTTTCCAAATTTGCCCTTGAGGTGATTATTTAAGTTAAATAAAGTGATTAGTGTAGATCTAAAGTGGAGATGTGATAGATAATGATTAAGAAAGTGAAAAATACTAGAGAGTAAAGTAAAATTACATGGAGTAATGGAGGTGGGTGGTGAAGGTGGGTAAATAAAGTGTGGGTGAGTCAAATAAATGTGAGGGGTACAATGGTCCTTTCACTTCAATGTTTTTGCCAAAATAGGAAACGAGAATAAAACTTTTGGACGACCCAAAGAAGAAAGTGGGAAAGAAAGTTTTGGACGGAGGAAATACAAACTATTAACATGTTAAATTTACAATTTAGAATGTTATTTATAATAAATCTATATAAATCATTGCCAATATGTTTAGAAAAATTATCCTCCAAATTTTTCAATTAATAGTAATTCAAATAACCATAGGTGGAAGCAGGATTGGACCCACATTAGTCTTAGTGGGGTCCTTGGTAGTCACCAATTTGGCATAAAACCAAATTGGTTCTCTGACACCGAAGTCTCTTGTTTCAACCTTCGTTCAACCACTCTTTCCCAAAACTTCATCGTATGACTCATAGGCTTGATTCTTTTGTAGTTTCCACAACTCTGATTATCCCCCTTATTCTTGTAAATAGGAAACAAAATGCTCTTCCTCCATTCCTTAGGCATCTTCTTAGATCTTAGAATCTCGTAAAAAAGCTTAGTTAGCCACCAAATGCCTTTTCCTCCTAAACCTTTGCTAACTTCAATTGGGATGTTGTATGGGCCCACTGCTCTCCTATTCTTCATCCGTTTTAGGGCCTCCTTAACTTCAGTTTTTCAGATTCTTCGATAATGATTGAAGTTTTGGTCCTCCTCCCTCGTGTGTAGCCGATAGGAGCATGAGATATTGGCATGCCCCCCCATTAAACAGGTCATTGAAGTAGCTCTTTCACCAGTAGTTTATGCTTTCATCAAAGACCAAAACTTCACCATTCTTATCTTTCATGCACTTAACTTGATCTAAATCCCGCGTCCTTCTTTATTGAACCTTTGCAATCTTTTAAATACATCTTTCCCTTTCTTTCTTACCCAACGGCTGGTAAAGTTCTTTAATATAGTTTTTCATTTCACAAATAGATTGTTAACATTTTTTTGTATGCAAACCGCATATCTCAAATATGTCCAGGATGAAGTTGAGATAATGAAGTGAAATTATCTTATTTTTTGTTATGATTTTCATTTTTCTCACATACGTACTACTTACCAAAAACATAATCATTTGATTTTAAATTATGAATTTAAAATCAAATGCATGTTGTAAAACAGAACTACAATTAGTACAAAATAAATAACATCTGAATTACCAAAAGTGATAAAATACTGAAAAAACTGAGGGAAGACGTACCAGCTCTTTCTATCAATAGACTCTTTTCTATTGGCAAACCTGAAATCAGAAAAAAAGGATTTCATAACAGAAAAAATAAAACTTATGGTTGAAAAGCTATGAATTTTAAAATTCCCATTTGCATTTGG